CGGTTAATTATTAACGCGAGCCGACACACAGAGAGGAATCGAGCGCGCTAAGGGGGTGCCACGCGCGTTTCCGTCCCGGCGTGGCATTAACCCGCAACCCATCAAAATGTAAATATCGGACCTGCTATCTGATTAACGCTCGTTCCAGCCTGGCGCGGATCGATCCTCGCGCCGATACCCGAAAATTTTCGATCGCTTCCTAGACGAGGGGCGAGCGAACATCCTAATAAATTCGAACGAGTTTCACGGGGCGGAGGGTTCTTCTACCGACGGCAAGCGTCGAAGCGCGGCTGGAAAACGCAGATTTTTCCGCAGGAATCGTTGGGCCGGGAAAAAATGCCGGAGCACAGTTGTCGGGGGGCGAGAGAGATCCGGAATCCTGGCACCGATTTCGCGGTGGAGAATGTACACGGAGAGATCCGCTCTGTGGTTCCTCGAGCGACAAGGAGCGCGAAAAGCAGTCGATAACGTTGATATCGATCCTCAAAGGAAGAGGAAAACGAACTCGCCGAGCTTCTCTGTCGCTCTGATCGTTCCGCCGTTCGGATAGAAAGGGAGAGAACGAGAGACGGGGATAGCTAGACAGCGAAAGAGAAGGAAGGTTGGTTGGAGAGAGGCAGAGACAGAGAGGAAGAGATAGAGAGAGAGAGAAGGAAGATTAGAGAGGGTGAAACACGCACACGTTTGCCTCGTTGGCTCTGTCTCCGGGTGTAAGGAGACGATGATGTCCTGTCGGTAGGTTTACCAGGAGGACAGGAGAGTCGTGTTGACGAGGACCGACAGGGCCGGCTCCCTAATTCGAATTTAGGTGTTGGGCGGGTTGGCAAGTGGGCGCAATGCGGTGTCACGCTGCGGGCGTTTGCTCTTTCTCCTCCGATCCGCGCTCTCTCTCTCTCTCTCTCTCTCTCTCTCTCTCTCTCTCTTCCCTCCGCCCCTATTTCTCTCCATTGTACCCTCCTTTCCGGTTTCGGCTCTCCTCCACTTGCCTCCTTTCGCCGAGCGAACCCTCCCTCTCTCTCTCTCTCTCTCGTTACCCCCTTCATCCCCGTTAAATCCCCCCAACACCTCGAACCACCTACTCCGTCTAAGCCGGATCGAGCGACCTTAATCGACCCCCTGTGATCTCGACGGCGATCGCGCGCGCACCGAGACCCGTCTACTCTCGAACACGCGTCACCAACCCCCCACGACCGCCCCCGGAATCCCTAACGCGACTAATTTCCACGACGATCACTCTCCGCTCTGATTTTTCAGCTCCCTCGCGGAGAGAGAACGAGAGCCTTCGAGGCGTCTCGGCTGCTGTCGAAGCGCGCGGGGCTCGTGGGATCGATCCGAAACAACCGGTAATCCGCGAGCCGGTGTGTATCTCGCAGTCTCCGAGAAACCCGAGCACAGCCTTCCGCCGACTCTAATCCCAGGGTAACTGCGAGAATCTTCCGGTCGCGGTTTCCGCGAGCTGTCTCGAGGCTGCTGCAAGATTCCGTGTTTGCCAGCCAGATTGATCGCGGGGTGCGCGGCACAAGCTGGGATCAGCCCCCGCGAAACGATCCGAATCGTTCGATCAAAGTCGTTCGGACGACGGAATAAGAGTTTCGGAAGTTTGCGGAATAAGATCGCTGGGAGATCGTTTGCTCGTTTCTTTGAGACGACGACGACGACGAGTACCGATAAGTCGAGCCAGAAATATTCCACGTAATCCGAAGTAATTGATAAAACTGAAAGTTCAGATGACTGCTGTTCGAAACTGTCTCGGGTTAAATACTTAGATTTCTGACAGAATGTACACCAGGGTGGCGTCGCCGGTCGTCTCTCACGGTGTAAAATCCATCTTCGCGGAGCATTTACGCGGACCGTTAGCCGACGGCCACTCGAATCGAACAGAAAAACGCGCTCGCGGCAGTCTCGTCGAGCGTAAGTTTACGACTTCTAAATAGCAGGCCTGCGCTCCGAGCGAGTTACAGGATCGTCGACACGTAAAACTCGCAGAAACTTACCTTTTGGCACGAGAACGCGTACCACGGCTGGTAAGCCGAAACGATAAAAACCCGGAGAGAAGGACGAGGAAAAAGCGTTACGGTCCAACGGAGGCGAAGTTAGCCCCCCTCGGCCCGGTCCGGCCCGACCCGGCCCGCCGGGATTTCGTTTCTCGGGAAAATATACAAATGCGAAACTTCCCGCGACGGCAAATCCGATGAAAAACCGCCGGAGATCTTTCTTACGCGAGAAAGATACTGTAATTTTCGAATTGATCGAGCTCGGACACGATTTTCAACGAGTCCGGTCTGTAACCCGATTCTAAATCGGTCGTTTCAGATATTTTTGGAGGATCCGAGATACAAAGGATAATTTAGTTCTATTTTTGCACGATTCAACGAATCGTATTCGATCGTTGCTAGACGATTCTATTTCTCAGCATTTTAGATTTTTTAAGAACTTCGATGCATCTGCAAAGAATTAATTTGCTCTATACTTCCAAGTCCGGGTCATTGCTCGACGATTCTACTCGCCGTTTCGTCGCTAGAACGCGTAAAAATGATCGAAAGCATTTCCATCGAACATCTGTCTCTCTAGTCGACGTCGCATCGGTGTTGAATTATATTGGCGTCGGTTTTCTCGCAGACACAATAAATGCACGGTCTATCGACAGCTACGCTCGGAGAGACCGACGAATCAAGAATGCACAAGCTCGGCTCTTCCGGTAGTTCCTGCGAATCCAGCCGCCACNTTTCTCCTCCGATCCGCGCTCTCTCTCTCTCTCTCTCTCTCTCTCTCTCTCTCTCTCTTCCCTCCGCCCCTATTTCTCTCCATTGTACCCTCCTTTCCGGTTTCGGCTCTCCTCCACTTGCCTCCTTTCGCCGAGCGAACCCTCCCTCTCTCTCTCTCTCTCTCGTTACCCCCTTCATCCCCGTTAAATCCCCCCAACACCTCGAACCACCTACTCCGTCTAAGCCGGATCGAGCGACCTTAATCGACCCCCTGTGATCTCGACGGCGATCGCGCGCGCACCGAGACCCGTCTACTCTCGAACACGCGTCACCAACCCCCCACGACCGCCCCCGGAATCCCTAACGCGACTAATTTCCACGACGATCACTCTCCGCTCTGATTTTTCAGCTCCCTCGCGGAGAGAGAACGAGAGCCTTCGAGGCGTCTCGGCTGCTGTCGAAGCGCGCGGGGCTCGTGGGATCGATCCGAAACAACCGGTAATCCGCGAGCCGGTGTGTATCTCGCAGTCTCCGAGAAACCCGAGCACAGCCTTCCGCCGACTCTAATCCCAGGGTAACTGCGAGAATCTTCCGGTCGCGGTTTCCGCGAGCTGTCTCGAGGCTGCTGCAAGATTCCGTGTTTGCCAGCCAGATTGATCGCGGGGTGCGCGGCACAAGCTGGGATCAGCCCCCGCGAAACGATCCGAATCGTTCGATCAAAGTCGTTCGGACGACGGAATAAGAGTTTCGGAAGTTTGCGGAATAAGATCGCTGGGAGATCGTTTGCTCGTTTCTTTGAGACGACGACGACGACGAGTACCGATAAGTCGAGCCAGAAATATTCCACGTAATCCGAAGTAATTGATAAAACTGAAAGTTCAGATGACTGCTGTTCGAAACTGTCTCGGGTTAAATACTTAGATTTCTGACAGAATGTACACCAGGGTGGCGTCGCCGGTCGTCTCTCACGGTGTAAAATCCATCTTCGCGGAGCATTTACGCGGACCGTTAGCCGACGGCCACTCGAATCGAACAGAAAAACGCGCTCGCGGCAGTCTCGTCGAGCGTAAGTTTACGACTTCTAAATAGCAGGCCTGCGCTCCGAGCGAGTTACAGGATCGTCGACACGTAAAACTCGCAGAAACTTACCTTTTGGCACGAGAACGCGTACCACGGCTGGTAAGCCGAAACGATAAAAACCCGGAGAGAAGGACGAGGAAAAAGCGTTACGGTCCAACGGAGGCGAAGTTAGCCCCCCTCGGCCCGGTCCGGCCCGACCCGGCCCGCCGGGATTTCGTTTCTCGGGAAAATATACAAATGCGAAACTTCCCGCGACGGCAAATCCGATGAAAAACCGCCGGAGATCTTTCTTACGCGAGAAAGATACTGTAATTTTCGAATTGATCGAGCTCGGACACGATTTTCAACGAGTCCGGTCTGTAACCCGATTCTAAATCGGTCGTTTCAGATATTTTTGGAGGATCCGAGATACAAAGGATAATTTAGTTCTATTTTTGCACGATTCAACGAATCGTATTCGATCGTTGCTAGACGATTCTATTTCTCAGCATTTTAGATTTTTTAAGAACTTCGATGCATCTGCAAAGAATTAATTTGCTCTATACTTCCAAGTCCGGGTCATTGCTCGACGATTCTACTCGCCGTTTCGTCGCTAGAACGCGTAAAAATGATCGAAAGCATTTCCATCGAACATCTGTCTCTCTAGTCGACGTCGCATCGGTGTTGAATTATATTGGCGTCGGTTTTCTCGCAGACACAATAAATGCACGGTCTATCGACAGCTACGCTCGGAGAGACCGACGAATCAAGAATGCACAAGCTCGGCTCTTCCGGTAGTTCCTGCGAATCCAGCCGCCACACGATCTCCCCGGCGTATCGCGTGTGCGAAAAATTCGGAATCATGGTTTCTCGGAAACGTAACACCGCCACGCCGTGGAAACTCGAACGCGTTGTACTCGAGTGACTCGAGAGAGGTGCAGAGGAAGGATAGAGATATCGCTAAAACACGAACCGATAACCTCCTCGGCGTGTCTGACAAATGTTTGACCGCGGAACGTTTTCGTTATCTACGCGCCTCGTAAGCCTAATCTTTGCTCGTGTGTGCGTGTAGGTCTATTCGAGCAGGAAAAAGACATCCATAAACAATGATGTCCGGTTTCTCAACGGTCCCACGATTATCATTTTTTTCCCGATCGAGTTTCCTACGGCAGCGTACGACGCACCGAACCGAACGAGTATCTTCTAGCAGCGAGGAAGAATCACGTTGTCACCTACCTTGTTCTTTCTCGGGGACCTTGGCCGGGACCTTCTTATCGGGCGCCTTCGGAGAACAATTCTTTCGCGCTGGTCTAACGGTTAACGTCGACGGTACCTGCAAAATAAAATGCGACGGGCATTTGTTAGCGTACCGTGACACGGTTTTGTGGACAAAGATGAATAGAGAGAGAGAGAGAGAGAGAGAGAGAGAGAGAGTAAATCTAGAGGACAGAGAGTAAGTACAACACTCACCACCTTTTCGGACCTTTCACCGGACGGCAATCTGGCGATGGTCGCGTCGGGACTGTCTTCCGGCGGCGGCGGTTGCACTATCCAATTATACTCGCGTTTCTCAACCGGCAGACCCCATCGTTCGTACTCGAGGCTCTGAGTGCGCAGGGTTTCGTAACAGTCGAGACAGACCACCGCGAAGTCCCCGTTCTCCAGCAGCAAGCTCTTCTCCGGCTGCCGATGGTACTTGAGGAACGGGAAGTCCTTGACGAGCAACGCTCTGACTCGCTTGCGGTAGGTGGTTATCCCGCAAACGTAACAGCAGTAGTCGTGGGTATTGTACTGTCTTTCGGCGGCGTTCACTTGCTGGCCGCTGGGAAGAGATTCGTATCGACGCCACTGCGCCAAAAGGGAGTGATAACAGAACGTGCATACCAGCGCGGAGCCGTCCTCGCGGAGCTGCTCGGCGTTCGGCGGTGACTGGTGCCGCAACAATTCTGGGAAAAACGGGGCGTTGCGACCCTGAGGACGACCGTACAAGACTCGAGCCAGAGTCAGGTCGCTGTGCAGACCGCACAGGAAACAATAGATCGAGCTGCTCGACGTACCCGGGTTGCTGCCGAACGTCCGGTCCGAGCTCGAGCTCGGCGGTGTCGCGATCGACCGGTTCACGTCGCCGTTCGGGTGCGGACTAGGAATATCATACCTGAAAGACGACGGAGAAATTCGGAACGTGGAACGGAAACTAAAATTTAAGTGAAACAGCAGGTTCCTCCCCAACAAAGGTGTTTTTCGCACGAACCTGCGACGTTCTAAAGGAACACGTTCGGCGTCCATGCTCTCCCATTGTTGGGCCAGGTGGTTCACGCAGTGACTACAGGCCAGCACTCTGCCGTGGCTATCCATGCAGGCGTTCTCAGATGTACGAGCCATTCCCCTTAGACAGGGAAAGTGCATGGCGTGCGAGTTCATTCCCTCCGGGCTCGTGGACAACCTGCGACGAAGGGGAAATAGGCGATTAATTGGATTCGACGTCCGCTTAGGGGACACTCTGGAAGCAGCCTGGACTACTTACCATTCCATGTGAGTGCGAGGATACAGTCTCTCGCAGATATAGCACCTATAGTTTTGGCCAACAGCGACGGTCCCGTTCTCGGCGGGGGCGTTGTTCGGCGAGTTTCGCTGGCCGGCCGTGGCTCCCTTGACCGTGCCGCCTCGCAATTTGTTCGTGGCGACCGAGGACTTGTTCAGATCGTACGGTTTGAACCGAATGTCGCTGCCGGCCGAGTTCGCCGGGGACTTGGCGACCGCGGGTCTCGGCGACGGACCTTGCTGCCGGAAATCGACGGTCTGGCCCGCGACCGGCTGAACAGCCTCGTGATTCTCTCCCCCGAACACTTGCTGCTTCTGCGGTATGGCTTTGTAACAAATGGAGCAGACTTGCACCATTCCCTGAGGACTAATAGGACTAGCTCCTGGCGGAGGTCTCAGAGAATAAATAAAAGGATAGTACGCCTCCTTCTCCGGATTGGCGCAGCAGTAGAGAAGCCTAATACTGGACGAAGGGTACTCGAGCGCGCAGGTGTAGCAAATGAACGTGGTCGTATCCATCGCTGGCGCTTGCCGTTTACGGAGCGTGTAGTTACGGTCACCGTGGGGTACACCTTGCCGAGCATACGCCTTCCATTGCAACAGAAGGTGATTCTGACACGCTGTGCAGGCCTGGAGAACGCGACAACGGTTAGTATTCACGAAGAAATCTCCTAGCCAGAGATCGAACGAAAACAGTTTACCTGTACGCGACCTGCGCTGTCCATGGGTCGACTTCTGCTGGGTCTCGGATGAAGCATCAGAGAAGGGAAGAATGGGGGAGGACTGGCCGAAGGGTGCGGCGGAGTTGGCAGTGGTTTCGCTGCGATATGACTAAGCGAGCCTCTCTTAAACTCATCCCCGCACACGTAACAAACTTCCGTCACAGAATTCTTGTCCGGCATCGAGAGATCCAGGATATCGGTGCCAACGCTCGACGAAGATCCACCGCTGTATATCGCTGCAATTCAGAGAGAAACGGTCACGATTACCACACCGTATCGCTCTCGCCGAACAAAAATGTTCCACGCGACTCGCGAACACGGAACTATAGTTTTATGATCCGCAATTGCCACGGACCGATTTCAAGCGACCTATTTATCTGCGACGCTCGCCGACTAATGACCATCGAATCTGCTTAGCCGGATCTCGAAAGGTCGCGCGCGCACAGTCAAGCTTGAGATCAGAATTCGAATTAGATATACGTTTGCCGCTTTATCTGCCAGACTGTTGACCTTTATTTACAAACACTCGACCAACTGAATGGATCGACTGTACTGTAACGTAAAGAATTCTTGTACAGGCTACTCCACAGACTATGACCTCTTCCAGAATAAATTGGATCGATAAGGGTCGAACGTGGAAGTGATAGACAAGAGTGTTCCGGAGCAGCCTATGCAATCTAAGTAAATGCGCGAACATACGTTGAGGCTGTGGCGGTAACGCTGGTTGCGGGGCAGGCGAGCTTCTTGGTGCGTGTCGTAGGTCCAAAGCCGCTTCGCTGGATATTCTGGTGTCCTCGACGGGCTGCCTAGGGCTCTGTAACCTCTGGTGCGGCGATTGCAGTCTTTGATGGGGAGATTCCATGGTGAGCCTCGCTTGCTCCAGGTGCCTGTGCGTTTCAGCAGTGTTCGAATGCGGTCTTGGCAGTTCGATGGAGTTCGACGGCGGCCTCGTCTGCTCCACCACCCTGGGCGACGGCGAGTTCGTCGGCAGCCGCGGCGAGATACCCACCGGTCGGTTTTCCGGTCTGAGCTGTGGCGGTTGTTCGTTGGTCAGACCAAGAACTTGAGCAGCGTACTCCCCCTGCAGAGCCATCTCGGCCCCGGTGAACGGCCCGCCGTCGCATCTCTTTAGCCAATAGATCCGTTGACTATGCGGCCTGGCATCCTGCTCGTAGCTCTCCCATTGCTGTAACAGCAACGCGTAGCAGAGACTACAGGCCTTCACAGCCCCGCCTCGGGCACCCTCGCCTCGGTAGCCGGCAGGTGGTTCGTGGGACTCCAGGAACGGGAAATAAGGCTCGTTCGGCGCTCCAGCCGGGTTCGGCTTCACTCGGAGCCAGTACTGCTCGCTGTGGCCCACCGTGCCACAAACGAAACAAACCCTGGCACCTCCGATCTCCTCGGAGGCTGGATTTGGCTGCGGATTCGCGAGGGACTGTCCGTCGAGGCCAGGCTCATTTTTCACGTATAGTTTGTTTTCCATCATGTCAGGAAACCATCGGGTCTCTTCAACGACCTTCTATATACTTTTGTTTGGCACGCATATACGATCACAAGTTACTTAGATTGACAATGTTTTCTTGGAATTTTCCGTGTATCTGAAAAGATAAAAGAACCATTCAGTTGGCGTAGGGATAAGGTTGTTGGAAACAAAGTGTGCTACGCGTAAACGGTTGCAAGGCATATTATTTCAAATGTATATAGGAAACCTTATTGTATGCAAATGAGTGTATTCGGGTGCAGCTGCGACCTCATTCTTTATTCGATGTGGAATACACAAAACACAATTGCTCGACGCGTCCAGGAACAAATTTATTTCTTAATTGTGTAACACCCGGTCGAAACTCGATGATAGAACAATAAATATTTATGTAAACATGGCTTTCTGTTCTTCCTCCTCCTCTTCGAGTATATCAGATTTTTAAATTATATCGTGCCTGGAGGATTGTGCAGCCACACGCGTATACCTCGTTACAAAGTGTATCCACAAGGAAAACATTTACGGTATGCAAGTTACATCGAATTTTGGGCCAAATACAATGAAACATCAGCGCATAGTTTTGAAGCAGGGCAATAAATTTTTGCATGAACAAGGTTCGTGCTTCCTCTTCGAAGGTACTAGACTTTCCACCGAAATGAAATTAAGTATATCGCTTAGCATGTACGATTACATCTTACTCGCAAGATTATGCGGTCTGTCTGTGGTGCCTGTAAACACAAGTACTTGGTTATGAAATATACGGATAGGACAAATGACTAACAAAGTGCAAGTTACTCTAAATTTTGAACTACAACAGACTCAATAGTTATGAAACACTGAAACCCGAACAACAAACACAAAGGACCGTGCCGTTAGCCGTAAACTCTTATCGTTATTGAAGCATTGCAACGTGCGATGCTTTTAGAATACCGTAACATGTGGTGTATTTTTGGCGCATTGCTACATCGACGTTTACCGACACCGACCATAAAACACTTCTTCGGGCGTCGGTAACAGAAGGAAAAACCGCGTGATGCACTTTTCGTTTCGCTGACGCGCGCGTGCACAATAATTTCGTATTAGAACACGATTCCTAACACATACGAGGAGGAAGCACGGGGACGAGTCACGAAGCGAAGCGTTTTCAAGGAGAATCGGCTGGGAACGCATAATCGTCGATCCGTGAAGAAGATCGGGGGGACAAAATGATTTCTCGAAAATAGATGTTCGACGATCGTCCACTCCGAAACGGAGGAAAACGTGATCGCTGCGAGAATATATTTGATGGCAATGGTGGCACTCTGGCCTTAGCGGCGAGTCGCACGTCGAAACGCTCTCTCTCTCGAGTCGATGCTGGTTTATCGCGATCCGTCATTCATCGACGATCGTTTGCGACGAGCCGAGGAGAATTTCGACGATAAAACGATCGGTGGGAGAGGGATCACAGGGATCAAGGGGAAGGCAGAGCCGTACACTGTGCCTCGCTACCGAAATACGCAGCCACGACGGGCACACTGGCACGCACAGTTTACGGTCTCCTGAATCGAAAACACTCACGTTTTCACAGTTCGGCGAGATTGACCACCGCATCGCTATTCCGCGGCGGTGATTTTGCTCGGCGATACGTATTGCTTAGGCGAAGCGGAGCTTCCTTATCTCGGGTTCTAGTCTCTGCCATACGTGCTCGAGCTGCACACCGAGCTGCGGGGTGTCACCTTCGAAATAATGTTAAGGCTCGTTCCACTCATATTTACATGTGTCGTGCACCGTGCTACGCGTCCCGAACCCGTATCGCACTGTCCCATCCACGAGAACTAGAATAAAACCGGTCCCGCGACTACGAAAAATACATTTTCTGATGGCACAGCACCGCGACTTTGGCTCAATTCACCGCCATGTTGCAAAATCGCGATCCGCTTCCCATGATGCCACGCAGCTTCGTCATATGACAGTGCCGCGCCGCCGGCCAATCGACTACGTCGACGCATGCGCGGACCGCGCCATCTCCAACTGAACTGCCGCGAACACAGTTTCCGCGCGATCTTTGAAATTTTTTTTCCGTTTCTCTCGGATCCGCAGCAATTTTATAATTGCGTTACGTAACAAGCACCGTGTTCGTTGAACCTCGGGAAAGACGATCATCATCCGCGCACACCTAGCTCTCAAAAAATTACCATAGTTAACCGTCCACGAGAAATTTCTCCCGCGATTCTTGCGTTCTTTTTCAAATCGAAAGACCGACACACCGCGCCGATTTGAATTTATTCTGAACAAAACACGACGAATTTTTATTGTTTTGCAATCTTCTGTATCTCGTTGATCTTTCTATCGACCTTACTTCATTGAAAGAGAAAGAATTCATCGGCTGTTGACAAAAGAATGATTGAAAAATTGCAAAACCAGCGAGAAGTAGTTTGCTTTACTTTCTTTTCAAATAAACCTTGAATAAATTATTATTATTCTTACTATTATTATTCAAATTATGATTTGTAATGTTACAAAGTCAGATTGAAGAGAGAGAAATAAAATAAAAGGACAATGAAGTAACAGTGGTATCTCGTTGGACATTTATACAATATTAATTAGAATTGCTTGCGAATGATTCCTAGGTAAGATTCAAGGGTGTGTTGTGTTACATCGGGATGGGGAAGAAATACGAACAACAATCGATGTTTCACCGTATTTAATCAACAGGTTGGGACATTGCACCTTTGTAATGCTAAAAATTATTTTTTATAGATTGTGTTGTTGTTGTTTCTTTATATGTATATTTATATATATATTTTTTTTATATGTGTACCACTATGTCAAGTGGAATCCTGATATAATACTAAAAAATAATTGGAAATACTTTAAAAATACTCTTTGCAAACGATAATTCTTAGAAATCCATTCTCTCTGATATCGTTCGTCTCTACCATACACATCTAACAGCTACAATGATCTCGAATTCCTTCGTGTACGGCTTTATACAGACAATTAATCACAAAAAGGTTTCCTCCTTCTTCTGGTTACCCTAAACGGTGGTGATGCATCCAAACAACAACAAATTGCATTTGCAGTTCGTAGAAAAATGTCTCCCTCGTTCCCGGAGAATTATGCGCAGTCAGAAGAACCGAAAGGGGACATGATTTTTGTTTTCTTTCTTTCACCGACCCGATCCTCTCTCTTTCGTCACTGCGTTTCGATCTAAAGAACCATTGGAACCGATATCTGATTCGTAGAAGCAGCGCGATCACGATCTCCTAATCGTTACGATATATAAAAATACTAAAAGAAATTAAACGGACACGAAGCGTCAGGAAAAAAGGTATCTACGCGTTCGCTGACTTAACGAGACCGTTGTGTGCTCGGAACACATCGCATTAATTTAACGTGTAAAAACGCTCTCTCTCTCTCTCTCTCTCTCTCTCTCTCTCTCTCTCTCTCTCTCTCTCATTCTCACTANCTACGTCGACGCATGCGCGGACCGCGCCATCTCCAACTGAACTGCCGCGAACACAGTTTCCGCGCGATCTTTGAAATTTTTTTTCCGTTTCTCTCGGATCCGCAGCAATTTTATAATTGCGTTACGTAACAAGCACCGTGTTCGTTGAACCTCGGGAAAGACGATCATCATCCGCGCACACCTAGCTCTCAAAAAATTACCATAGTTAACCGTCCACGAGAAATTTCTCCCGCGATTCTTGCGTTCTTTTTCAAATCGAAAGACCGACACACCGCGCCGATTTGAATTTATTCTGAACAAAACACGACGAATTTTTATTGTTTTGCAATCTTCTGTATCTCGTTGATCTTTCTATCGACCTTACTTCATTGAAAGAGAAAGAATTCATCGGCTGTTGACAAAAGAATGATTGAAAAATTGCAAAACCAGCGAGAAGTAGTTTGCTTTACTTTCTTTTCAAATAAACCTTGAATAAATTATTATTATTCTTACTATTATTATTCAAATTATGATTTGTAATGTTACAAAGTCAGATTGAAGAGAGAGAAATAAAATAAAAGGACAATGAAGTAACAGTGGTATCTCGTTGGACATTTATACAATATTAATTAGAATTGCTTGCGAATGATTCCTAGGTAAGATTCAAGGGTGTGTTGTGTTACATCGGGATGGGGAAGAAATACGAACAACAATCGATGTTTCACCGTATTTAATCAACAGGTTGGGACATTGCACCTTTGTAATGCTAAAAATTATTTTTTATAGATTGTGTTGTTGTTGTTTCTTTATATGTATATTTATATATATATTTTTTTTATATGTGTACCACTATGTCAAGTGGAATCCTGATATAATACTAAAAAATAATTGGAAATACTTTAAAAATACTCTTTGCAAACGATAATTCTTAGAAATCCATTCTCTCTGATATCGTTCGTCTCTACCATACACATCTAACAGCTACAATGATCTCGAATTCCTTCGTGTACGGCTTTATACAGACAATTAATCACAAAAAGGTTTCCTCCTTCTTCTGGTTACCCTAAACGGTGGTGATGCATCCAAACAACAACAAATTGCATTTGCAGTTCGTAGAAAAATGTCTCCCTCGTTCCCGGAGAATTATGCGCAGTCAGAAGAACCGAAAGGGGACATGATTTTTGTTTTCTTTCTTTCACCGACCCGATCCTCTCTCTTTCGTCACTGCGTTTCGATCTAAAGAACCATTGGAACCGATATCTGATTCGTAGAAGCAGCGCGATCACGATCTCCTAATCGTTACGATATATAAAAATACTAAAAGAAATTAAACGGACACGAAGCGTCAGGAAAAAAGGTATCTACGCGTTCGCTGACTTAACGAGACCGTTGTGTGCTCGGAACACATCGCATTAATTTAACGTGTAAAAACGCTCTCTCTCTCTCTCTCTCTCTCTCTCTCTCTCTCTCTCTCTCTCTCTCTCATTCTCACTAATATTCTTGCTATCTCAGTTTCTCTTTCCCTCTCGCTCCCTTATAAATAATTATAAACTAGGTCTGTTTTGCATTGATGAATGACTACAACGATCTCCTTCTCTCTTTCTTTCTCTCGCTCACTGTTCTCTCCCACTCTCCCGATACGCAGCCAAGATACTCATCTCTACTTGTCACAGCTTGTTTCAATCCATACTCCTCGAGGGGCTGGTAACGACGATATCGATTCGTGGACGATCGAAGGAAAGAAGGCAAGGACAACGAGCAACGTAATAAATAATACACGCGAAGAACAATAATCGCAGACTCCTCCGAACGACCGGATACGTTTTGCTTTTGATTCTGTAACAGCCTTTTCCTCCCATCGGATTCGCGATCCTCGCGGACTGCGGACTCTTCGTCGCTCGAGTAAATAGAAAAGGATTTAAGAGTAAAAATCAAAAAGGGTTCATCATCTCTCACGCTAAAAAGAAAAAGAGAATATCTTCTCCTATTCGGTGTCATCAAGCACGAAAGTTCGCAGCCCAGCAAGTCGGACGATCCTCGCTTCGCATGTTCTTGTTTTCGTTTTTGCTAGGACTTACTTAAAAGATGGCATAACGGCGCCGAGTTAGTTAAATCGGATTTGACATTTGGTGAACGCATGACTTTTACTCTGTCGACCCTACCGGTCGGGTTATCTCCGTTTCTTATGTACATATAAACAGATATATTACTGTAACAAGGTTTCCTCCTCGTACAGGACGTTCCACAAGAGAGAGAAACCAGCTTGTGCGAGCTCTAACTACATATCGACAAAAGGTTCTTCCCCCCCATTTATCGAGCGAGACTATCTATCTATACATAGGCGAACGCGAACGGAATCACAGAACAGCAGCGTTGCATCACGACGGTGAAAACTATAGTCCCCCCGACGATCGACGAACGGCTATAATAAATCGAGTCGCGTTGTCATTCAGAAAGTATCGCGTTCGCTAAAAATGAAACGTCCTTTACGGGGAGGACCGTCGTGTGTGTCGCGTCTTGTTGCTCGTTTAGCACAAACGATACCACGTGCACACGCGTAATGAATAACGAGCGCTCTATGAAAAAACACTAAGGGTCACCGGTTCCGATAAAACTGTTCACCCCTGGGACCCGCGTATCTAAATGAATGTTGACACGTACGAGAACAAAAAGACCGCGCGCGATCTATCTAATTGCAAGAGGAACAAAAGCAACATAACCAGAGACGATTAAATAACGAAACCGATTGGTCCGATTGTCAACGATGAAAACGAACAGGCGATCGACCACGAAAACAGGTGTGAATAACGACTCGTATATCTTGGTACATAATCAACGTCCAACCTCCAGCGACGTCTACGCAAACGCAACACGGACAGCAACCGTAAATCCGCGTGGTAATCAGGATGACCTATAGATCAGTAAGATCCAGCGACCCGGCGAGCAAAGATCCCAAAGACCCTCTGAACCACGCCGAGCCTGCCGACCCGCCGGTCTCAAATATCGTTACCGTTCACCTGGTTCTCATCGCTCAAACTCCTTTTGTTGACCTCCTCACTCGACGTCCGGCCATAACCGGGTTCGATCATCGCGTCCGCCACCGATCTCGAACTGTGCTTGTCGACGTGCGTCAGCTCGATCGGTAGATAGATCGTCCGACAGTGATCTATGTCCGCCCGACACAGCGGACACCGCTCGCAACGCCGGGCGCAATCCAAGCAGGCGACCGCATGTCCACACGGAAACAACGCGGTGTCCAGGCTGCGATCCATGCAAATGCGACAGAGCATCGCGTCCAGCAATCTTGCCAAACATTCCCGGGATTCCTAAAACAGTACAGACCAGTCAAGACCAATTTGTCTCTCGGAACTCAGCGTTGCTTTGCCAACGCTGTTTGCACCGCAACCCCCCCCTTTTCAAAGCTCTCTCTACAATCCTCATTCCTTCCTCAGGAAGGAATGTGATACATGTGAAATGTCTGCTCGTAAAGACAGGTATCAATCATCCAAATACGTTCCTCAGGGGACATTAATTTTCAGTGGACGTTGAATCGTCTATTTCCGAAGACAGGTTTCTTTAGCCCTTCATCCTCACACATTTCTCAGAACAACTATTTCTAAGGAGTACGTTAGGATCTGCTTGCTCCAGAATTTACATATGTTACGACCCTATGAATTGTGAACTGTCTTTAACCCTGAATGCAGAACAAGCTATCACCGAGGAGTACGCAAGTAGATTCTCAGAGCTTGTGGGGGCGGTTGCAGCTCGCGTTGGGACATCGTTAGAAATAAACCTTGCACTTCGGATCCTCGCAGTCCCCGGCGCAGTCGTGCCTCTCCAAGATCTGCTTCTCCTTCTCGTCGGGCAGCCTGACGGTCGCGGATTCGCAGTAAAGAGCTCGTCGAGCATTGTCGTACACCTCTCGGCAGGTCCTCCGGATGTCGAACACGTACTTCTTCCCTAACGTGGAGTCCTCGTTGAAGATGGAAATGATGGTGCCCTGGAAAAAAACAAGGACATTGTTCAGACTGTTCTCTGATATTCTGATATCCGTCAATTTCAATACGAAATTTAGTGGAATACCTTCAAATCCCGTATGAACTGTGCGGTGACAGCGCTCCTGACAGTCTCGCAGCTGTAGAACGCGTGCTTCTCGGTGATCGCCCGGTACAGGCCACTGGCGGATTGACTCGAGTCCAATTTAAAGTTCAACGACGTCTCCTCGCCGTCCAGGGAGAGATACACCAAGTGGAACATCCGACGCTGCGACGTCGCGCTCTGTATCGCCGTGTACGGTATACTGAGGACAGAGGGAAACAGAGGAGAGGACGTTACCGAGGTGTCGGGCAGCGAGATGCTCGATCTCTCGGGATCTCGTTCTTCATTTGTCTACGTACTTTTGCGTCTCCTCGTCATCGCTGCGGTAAACCGTGATCCCGTGAGGACCCACGCCGATCATGGACACCCCGTTGTATCCGAACTTGCTGTGGAACATTTCCTGGCCGAACGTGTCCAGGTTCGAGATCTCCTTCAGCAGCCAGTACTCGGCCGTCGACGCTTTCATACCCTGCACAGAAAATTCATGCAATCGTCAGACGTCTTCCCAGTTTCAATCATGAACTGGAATCGTTCAAAGGGTCACAATGGAGGGGAGACTACGTAAACAGTTTGTCTTTGTCTAAAATAGTTGTATGCTAAAATGTTGCCTAGTTGTTTGACATTATTTAACTATGCTAGTTCCGATTTGCAACAAGTCACGTTCAAGTTATTAATTAGAAACGGAGACCGGGGATAATGGGTGGATTTTCAATTATTTACAATGTTAGCTTTGTGTGAAAGGCGAGTGTCGGCGGTGCGGGGACAAGGGTCATAGCTAAAGAAACGAGGCGAACCTTGATCTCCTTGTGTTGTTGGACTATCCGGTGCAGCAGATCCTGCGGTTTCGGATCGCACGGCTCGGTCGGCTGTATCTGACAGCACTGCGAGTAAAGTGCATGCAGCGGCGATATGGCATCGTAATCGCCGACGTCGGCTTGCGCTATCAAGGCGACCAACCGAGCCACGGAACCCCAGTCGGAGACCTTCAATCTACCCTCGACCAGCTCCAAGCGAGAGTGCAAGTAGAACTGGTGCCTGCGGGTCCAAGAAAAACGGATTAGGCGACGATCTTCGCGTTTGCGGCGCAGTAATTAAGGATTAAGATATAAATTGGATCTTATCGTAATATGTATTGAGCAAACCGACCGAATATTGCTACGATTTTTAGAATACAAAAGAGTTAAACTCACATTTTCTACTTTAAACTTTCTAGTTTCGGTTTCGTTGATTAAACGACTAATTAATTCCGACACACTTGACGCGTTAAAGCGATCTAGTACAATGTTCGTCCATTTTCGTAAAGGCTCGCAGCAACAGTTTCGCCAATTTTATCGCGAAGAAACGGCCTTGCTAGCGACCAATGCCTCGTTAGATAGCGTCGTTCCAGTTCAGAAATCGAGAGCCGCGATCGCGTATCACTTTCGCTTTAGATCCCGCGAAGTTTCAGTTTTATCGGGAACACGAAACGTCGGGGGATAATTAGCTCGAGGATTAATTGCTCCGGCTCGACGGCACCGAGGTGTAACACCGTAGGAGTTATTAGGTTGAAAAGCGGCTGCATCCGTCGATTCTTCGCGTCGCGTCGCCTCGGTCGGCAACGACGTCGTAAATCAGCGCGCAAACTACGAGACGGAGCATGATCGGGGGGACGAAGGTTGTTCGTCGTTGCGAGAAGAAAACGAGGGCTCTGTCGAGCACCGACCGGCAGAAAAGGAGGAGCGCTATTAACGTCGAACGATGCACCGGCGAAATGAAGCATCTCGGTTGCGAAATTTCAAGCCGACAAAAAGTTTGATACGGCCGCGCGCTGCTCAAAGGTTGATGGGAAACGAGGGGAGAAAAAAAGCGCAGCAATGGAGTATGTAGGCAGCGCGAATGTGTTCTCGAGATTTCGTTTACCCCGACTTTCGCAGCGATAGCGAGAGCGAGAGCACCCCGCGCGCGCTTTGTAATCCACTGGTATTACGAGCCACTCGCCTCGAACCTCGTTTCGCCGGAGGATTACGAGCAGTCTGCCCTTTTTCCCCCCGTTGCATCGGCCAGGAAAAACCAACTTTTCCGAAACTTTAGCAACGAGCGAAAACGCGCGACCGATCGCGAGCGAATTTTCGGAGGCGAGTGCTCACGCTCCCGAAGAACGCGGTCCAATTAACCATCGACGAACGTCCGACCAGCGGCGAACTTCCGCGAAAATTCGGAGCCGGTCGTTGGAAATTTCGTGTTGCCACGAACGACGCTGAGCGGAAAAAACGAAGACGATCGTAAACTGGAAAAGCCGAACCTGTTGATCGATACGGGAAAATCATCGGCGAAACCTGTAGATTAGACGGCCTCTCGTTTTAGGAGCACCGTCACTTTTTTAAAAGATTAATCCCAACTATGTAGAACCTAAAATTATTTCGAAGCTTCGAGGCTGTCGCATAAGCTGCATAAAACTGTTTTATAAATCCCGCTAGACTTCTCCTTTGGTCCAGTGCAACCAAGTTCATCGGACTTTACACCTTGTTCCTCGCGTCAAAAATCGTAGCCAAAAATCGTTCCCTGATCCCGAAGACGGCCCGCGGCTCAAAGAACAAGGACTGTCAACGTCAGGTTGCAGCTAACCATCGGTCCCGACCTTAACAGAGATACAATCGGAGTTTCCGAACCGAATTCCGGCGAGTAAATCGAGTTCTACGGTTTGATGTTACAGTCGCGTCCAGATTAAATTGAAATACTAACATTAGTTGCCACGCCTCCGGCGCGCAACTTCCTGAGCAACGATGGAGTCCTCGACTCTCGGAGATAGAGGAGAGATAGAGAAGAGAGAGCGAGAGAGAGAGAGAGAGAGAGAG